TGAGCACAGGGGCAGAATCACATCCCTACTTCAAACCAAGCTATTCTATAATATAATAATCCACAAGCAATGACAACATTAGGTAGGGGGAACAGAATCACAGAATCGTTGAGGCTGGAAAAGACCTCTGAGATCATCCAGTCCAGACTATGGCCCAACAGCATCACATTGGCCAGAGCACCGCACTAAGTGCCACATCCAGCCTCTTCTTAAACACCTCCAGGGACAGAGGAACATACAGGAACCTGTATGTTTAACACAAAGCAGTTCATTCAGACCTGTGATCCCTCCAAGTTGAATGTCTGGGCATTGTGACACAGCAACATGACATCTTTCTCCAAGTCTCCAAGGCTTCGATACTTATGGTTGCGAATTCTTTCCTGTTGCATTTGTTGAGGAAATAAAGAGAGGTATGGATGGGCAGTGGTGCAGAAAGAAAAACATCAGACAGGACATATATTAATATTTAATTTCAAAACATTAAAAGCTTACTCTTAAAAAAATTTACATAAGCATCAAGACAAGTATCCATTTAAAACAAAGAGAGTCTTAAAATATATTGTTAACGTATCAAAAAATCCCATCAGAGCAACAGAGTAAAAACGAAGCAACTGCTGTGTGAACTGGAAGGCACAAAAGCAACAGAAGTAGAGCTCTTCTGTTAAAACAAGTTCCAGCTTTTTCTTTCTCGCACAGAAACAAAACAAGCTATGACATGAATTAAAATCATAGAATTATGACATCACATAATGTCCAACAAGCTGTCTAAGCCTCATCTACCGAAGTGTGTTTGGATCTGACCTGGCTGTTCCAAGATGTGACTCCAGTTCAGGGGCGACTATATTCCGCCAGACCCACTGAACTTTTCCAAACACTGTGTTTTTACCAAATACGTGCTTACAGAGTCACAACTGGTCTTTGCAAAAAACCACACTGAGATGTCATCACGTCACATCGTCATTCACGCCACATCACTACACTTTGACTTTGAAACCACAGTGATACACTGCAATATAAACTAAATAGAATTCCTAGCAAGACATGTAACAAAGTTTAAAATCTAAGTCACAAGTAGAGGTTCATCCAATCTTTGTGTTGTTGTAATTTAAATGACTTGATGCTCACTCTTCGGTAGAATAAAAAGAAACTGAGGAATCTACACTTACAAGAAAAGGTTCTTACCTTTATCTTTTTGAAGTCCACTGGTTTCCGAATCAATTCGTAATACTCTGGTAATTCTTTCCTTGATGGGAGCTGAATGAAGACTTCGCTTAGCTGCCGTCCCGAACTGTTGAGTAAAACAAACGCATAATGCAAAAAATTACTACAACTTTCTCACAAAAATCATACACATACATACAATCTATTCATAAGAAAAAAATAAAAATAAAAATTGTAGTTCTTCCTTTCAAAGAATTAGGAATGGACTGCTGCTCTGATTTTTTATTTTGGCAGAGATAATTAATTTAAAAATTAAAATCTATCCTTTGTGATGTCACCCTAACACATCACCATCACTGTAAGATCATGTATCTAAAAGGCTCTACGGAAGCAGGATTGGTATCTAAGTCTATAATGGTTTGCCAAGTAGTCTTGCTGGTTTCTCAGTTTTGTTTGATAATTTTTAGCAAGTGTCCTCCCTGTCACTGTATGTTTATCTTCTTCTTGTCTATTTTATAGTTGTTTTGTACCTCCTCATCATAGCAAACCATTTATTCACATTGATTTCTGTTGTACTAGATGCTGATTTTTATCAGACTAATGAGTTGTTACAACATCAACAAAACTATTAACTTCCATTTACGGCTGTTAAGTTTCTGGGAAGATCATTGTAACCATACCAAAAATCACTACAGCCACTTATACTTCTTCAGCCATCTGAAATAAGGTGACATGTTATCAAAAAACTTTTCATACTCTAGGAACACTGCCAATCACTTACAGGTGTTCAGAATTTCTAAGATTTCCAGATTTCCCATTGTTCACCCTTCATTACTAGCTATTTTAACACTTCCCAATTGAAGGGGTTTTTTAATCTTATTTGTGGTTTCTCAAATAATAGATGACTGTAAGTTATCTGGAGATGAAATGTGCTGATGCCATTTAGAATCTTAGTATCATTTTATTTTTCCTGTGTGCATGTCATTGTTCTCACCAAGCAGCAGAAAAAAGATCTGCTGAAAGGAACCATAATTCACTGCACATAGCATTCACAAGTATTTCCCAGCCCACATTCGCATACTTCCTTCACTCACAGCTACTCCAAAAAGGCCTTGTTTTCTCATCTGCATCTTTGGATGGTAACTCGGGGATACCAAAACTTCACAGAAACTGGGAAAGAAGGCTGCAAAGTCCTGGTCTCCACCTTAGCTCATCTCTTGCAGACATCCTCCTCAGGGGTGTGGGATCTTACCAGCACTGAACTGAAGGTAAACTGAGGCAATTCTGCCTTGGTGGATATAGATGATAAAAACCATAGAACAGCTCTCCTTTTTACAAAAGTCATCAATGTCTACTCTATCTTACGCATATCTTAATGGCTGAAATAGCACTGGAGTTGAGGAGATACTGTTTTTCTTATGGACCTTACAGACCAATGAACTACCTAAGTAGCTGTTACTCACCTAATCCAAAATTTCTTAGTGTTCTTGGTCTAGTCCTGGGACTCTGCTGCTCCTTATATACTTTGCACCAGGGAGCACTAGAATGTAAACATTCTAATCACAGCTTGCTAATCTGTGTTGTCCAATGAATATCCTGGGTCCCAGACCAAAAGCTTCTGTCTTATCCTGACAACATTTTTCTGACTTGCATCAGTAGGAGCTGCTCCTCTTGGCTGCTCAGCAGTAACTGTTGGGCTGCTTCCTGGATCACAGCAAGATTACGGCATATGCAGGAATGTACTTCTGGGTGCTGCTGCTGCATGATGAGATGAGGTGTCACACAGAGTATCTCTGTCAGGGAAGGTGAGAGTGAAGTCTCTCTACCCCACACAGCTGTTGGGGTAGGAACCCTGACAGGCCACCTACACCCCACACTCCAGGCAGTTACTAGCAATTTCACTCAATTGATCTAATTTATTTTGTGAAGGGCTCTGGTACTCAAGTAGAGGAAATCATGAAATGATCAGACAACTGTAATCCTTAATTGCCTGCAAATAACTGCGAAACTCAGGCCACTGCACCTTTCATCTCCTTCGGTATTGATTCACACCAAAGAGATGAATTGATTACTTTCATGCTTCCCCTGTCAAAATGGGAGGTGTTTATACTATGGATTTAAAGGCACCAATCTTGCTAATGAACTTTGTGAGTGACTGTGTCAAGCCAGATGACAGAACTTGTTTTCATCTCAGAGAGCTGTCTCAAAGAGAAACTGGAAGCAATACAAGCAAAACAATGTGCTAAGTACACATTTACTAAGTTAATAGATTTGTCTAGTTTTTGCAAATTTAGGATTGCATTTTTTTTGTTAATAAAGAGAAGTGTTCAGCATTCACAAACGCAACTGATGCTAAATTTGTTCTGAACCTACAGAATATTAAGCACTCTGAGAAATCAGTTCTCTGGAGCCCAAACGCTGTCTTAATATTGTAAAATGAGGATAAAATATGAAATGTTGCACCATTACATGGCGCAGTGTAACGTATCTTCCTTGAGGGAATCACACTAGGTTTCTACCTTATTTCTGTTATATCCTATTATTCTGGTGCTTGACTTTAATAAAGTTATTAAAATATATTTGTACAATCTGGATTTGCTATGCAGAAGAACTGAGTTATCATTGCCGAGTTCCAAACTTCAGCAGCCTTCTTTTAACAGAAATACCTATCTGAAAAAATTACTGAACCACTGAAGCTTTAGTTGCCTCAGCTATGCTTCACAGTCTAACCACGAATACGATTTAAAGAAACAGCTACAAATAATCTAATTTTGACCAAATTTTAAAATGCCTAGTGTACTTCACAGATTCCATGATATTTGTCCTATTAAAAAAGCTCGATGATTATAGAGCTTTTGATATCACGGCTATATAATTTTTTTTTTACATAAACACACTCACACTTATACTGCATTTTTTGTTAAAAATATAACAGTAGTAAATTATTAAACAGCAATACCCTATTTTCAAGATATAAATCTAACAACTTTGATTGTACACACTATTAAACTAAGAAGGCCACAGAAAACCTCCAAGGTTCTGCTTGATATAACTAATTACTCAGAATCATTTAAGGCCATGAAAAAAAAAGGGTTAAGGGCATGAAATATGCAACAGACAGAAACTGGTGCCTATTTTGTCTACTCAGATCAATAACAACTGTCATTTTTATAATAGCTCCTCTGACAAAGAAATACTATCTTCTGCTTCCTTTGTATATGTGTATCTATAGTGTAAGTTAATGTGCTTACATAATCTCAAATGGCTCTGCTGTGGATACAAATGGAGAAAAATAGTAATAATTAATGCAACTCTGATTTTAATCCCTGTCCCCACTTCCGTAATTAGAAAATAATAACCACAGCAACTACCATATAAAAGTCATGCGCAGTAAAAAAATCACTCATGGTTGCCTGGCAACTACAAGGATACGTGCTGAAGAGAAGGACCAGAATAAATTAAACAACCCAACTGAGAAAGAACTCTGAGTGACAGCTCACTGCTATTGCATCAGCTCAACATGCTAATCCTGTGCATGCTCACATACAACACACTTGTATGCTGTGTGAGATAAAAATCATGGTGAAATACAGCTCATTTAAAACATGTTTTTGCTCTAGAAAAATAGTTATGCTTGATGTTTCTCATTTTTTCCTTTTTTTTTATCAAACTGCTTACAAGCGTATATTTCCACCCATTTAGTCATTATCTTCAGTGAAACCAAATGCAGGAACAATCAGGCCTCATTTGTATGGGCTTCCTTTTGTATTTGTTTTCCCTGGCAGTGTGTGGACAGAAGCAATCCGCCACTGACCTGCCAAAAGTATTACTACTATCAACACCCTTTCTCCTTTGGAATTAAAAGGAGAGACAACTATGAAACTGAAACTGCAAGACATTCTTCTATTTCTGGCCAATTTCACACTTCTAATGCTGCAATTCAGTTTAGAGTGGGTAGAATGAAGGGTCCTGTATGCTCGCCCTAGTCAGTGCACTCACAACCAGAATGACAGTGTGCAAATTACAACTTCTAATCAAATGCAACTCATGAGGACACTCTTAAAAAAAGATGTATGTGGGGGAAGAGAATTAAAACAGCTTACATAAGTGAGGTGGTTCCTCTGTATTTAACATCTTCTAACAGTAACCCCCCTATGCAGGCAGGTGATTAATTCTTGGTAAGCATATTTAATGATATTTCCTTTTAGGAACTGACTGCGCAGTGGAACTGTAAGACCTGATGGATCTGTCCCCATCATTGAAATGGAAGTGGGTAAAAATACCTAAAAATATAAATCCTGATTTTGACATATCGGCTATGTACTCCGTAACTTTGGCTTGGCTATAAATAAGAATTATTTGCTTTGCATGTTTGAATACTCAAGAGTACCAGTTGGCATAATTAATTACTACTCAGATTACCAATGGCTAATTACATTACTCACCATTTTACAACAGTTAAAAATCGGCAACTTGAGAAAACAACTGGAAAGAGTCTGAGTTTCACATAACAGAGAAAAACACTTTCTCCCTGAGCTATCTTCTGTCAAAACTAGAATACTAGGAAACATACTTAAGTATTTTGGATTTAACAAGGCAGTGATCAAAACACTACGTGCCACAGACACAGAAAGTCTCTTGCCAGGCAGGAAACATGGACAGGGCATAACCATCATATCCGCTAATTTTCTTATCAGCTTTACTGGAATGTTTTTAACAGCCACTTTCTATGCGGAGGAGGCTTTGTGAACTTAACAGGTACAGCAGGCAAGTCCTTACTTTAACTCTTGTGAACAGTGCAGAGAGAAGGTAGATCACAAACAAAAATGTATGTAATGGAGCTATCAGCATCCTGGAACTCTTGAAGTCAGTTGTTCATATCTGAACAAACTGGCAGTGGCATCAAACTGGTACCTAGGCAGTAGGTCAAACTCTGATGCAAGGCAGAAGACAGGACAGTGGATTTTTACAGAAGCTGAAGGATTACAAGCTATGAAGTATCATTCTTTTTCTCCACTTAATTTTAACAATCGGGAAAGGGAAGCTACACTTACAAGTTGTCTTCCTCTGAAATAAAAAACAATGGAAAACATTCAAAAGAGGAAGTGATAGTCTGGGGTACTAAAC